TGTCTTACCGACACTTACATCAGGTAGTTTGATAAATAACCGATTTACCAATATTATATAGATTTCGGTCTACGATTAACCATCCCTACAAAATTTAGATTCTTGTTCATCATCACCATGATAATGTTTTGAATAAAATATTCTGTACAATTTTGATATGTTGTTCAATGTTTACATAAAGCTAACACAAGCTTTAGCAAATCGCTTTACAGTGATTGGACAGACCACACAATCATGCTCGTTCCAATGTTTTTCACTTCCTTGTTTAAGTGGTAGCTCAAGTCGCTGGTATATTTATATACGTGAACCGTGTTTTTGGTAGCGTTGTTCTTCATAAACCATATTGATATTCCGAATGGTAAGTTATGCTAAATATCAAGGTAACTCGGGTGAATCGACAGATTACTGTATTACTTAAGTGTGCATTGGCATTGTACATGGTGCGTATATCTGACTTCTGTTCCAGTTGTCTCCGTAAGGTAGGTGCAGTGTATTGTGGTTTGAGTATCATGTAGCAGCTTAATTTCTTGACACGTTTTGTGCTAAAAGTGTACTTTAAGTAATAAGTTTATAACAATATACTGTAGTATCACCTAGTCGTCTACACACACATGTCCTGACACCTTGTTGTCTCAAGAATCTGTGATAACATCTCCTTGGAGATATAAACACTTCATAGATAATTATTATTGATTAATTTGTTCTGTTTTATGAATATTTATATCACATATTATCTCTGATATCATTAGATAGATGTAGAACACTTTCATGAAAAAGTGATTTAGTTAGATAATGTATTGTAATGCAAATTCAATGCCTGCGAGTTTACATAACTTTCTTCATCACTCCCAAACCTTCAGCTGTGAGAATGTGTCATCTTCCTCCTCTCAAACTTCCAAACTATCAAACGACTTTCGCAAATATTATGGAGAATATTATGTTAGATTATCGCAATGGATTTTTAGTATATATATATATATAATATACAGTTCCCATATTATACCATATTATAAATATATAATACAAATATATGTTTTATATTGCTTTGTCGATCACAATACCATAATTTCATAAGTATTGTAGATAGCACAAGTCTGCAGTGTACCGTGAATGAGCCAAGCAGAATTAACTAGTTCTTTTGTACAGTTGTATGCGTGCTCATACACTGTCATCCAATCTAGGAAGTAAATGCATTGTCAGGGTGTATTAAAAAATCATTCTGTCTAGTTGAATTATATATCAAGCTGAACAGTACAAATACATGCATTAAACTCATTTCATATTTTGTTTTCTTGATAATATTTTCTTTCAGTTTGATCTTGTAGTTTGAGCTTGTAGTTATGTACGTTGAAGGTTATACATTCACTGAATGTTAAGATTATATAAAAGACAAATGATAGTTATACAGAGTTTTCTTGTTTTGCTTCATATATATCATATCATATCATATCATATGTTAAAAGATAAAGTGATGCTTCAGACCAATGATAATTCAGATCCTTTCAACCGTGTTAGAGAAGTAGTCTTTTATTGTTGGGCGGCGTCTAGGATATATAGCACAGGTGAATTCACCACAAGATTGCATAAAACTACCAATTATATATTAGAATGAAGATTATAATATTTGTCAAGTTATTTGCTACTTTCATACAAAGATTATTATCATCCTTGTGACTGCGTATTTTTAAAATCACATGTTTAGATCAGATACCGTGAAATCATTAAATTCCGTGGAGGTTTTATTTCGTTCACTTTGTGCGTACTCTTTAACAACGATATATAATGTCCACTAATTATAAAAATTCAAACAAAATAGATTTATTGAGCATTATTCATCCACGAAATCAAGTGTCCACGAAATAGTATATAAAACTATATATTAAGCGCCACGAACATACCTGATTTTACAGTAGGTAATAGATCTCTAGGTCATGTGATTGGACTAAGGTGAGTAATTTAAATGGATGGCAGTTGTATGTAAACAATTATTACACGATCTGCACTTTAATGTTTGTGAGATACACTGTTCATACGGTCGGTCGAAGAAGCTGCGTACATCCCTTTAAATAACTAATAAATAATTTGTGGTTTTTGTACCAAACGCTTTGGGACTTTTTAGTCAGAACGTTTGAGTTTTCGTCAGTAATTCTTCGGTCTGTAAAAGCTAAAAGCACAATTCTATAAAAGGTTTGGATACAGTGGAAAAAACCCCACAGTAACATGTATTATACTATTGTTTGATTCTTCTGGAACTCGTCTGTGATAATATAGGAGGCAGCTTAGAATTTCAAATTTGGCCGAAACAAATGTTAAGGTATAGACTGGAAGGTTCAATAGCACGATAATGCAACAATACCTATCGTAAATATGTGAATAGTTCAGTATATGGTATTTTGTTCCCACTATCAGCATTTCTATGATAGATTTAGACAGTTGACAAATAAAAACACAACACAGAGATTCGAGGAAAAAAGCAGATTGATGAGGATTGTGGGGAAGATTTATGGTTGTCATGGTAACCTCAATGCGGAATTTTTGTTGAATACTCATTATTATGTCTGATGGGATGTTTGATGTAGAGCTTGTTCTTATTTGGGAATGTGACGTCACTGTCACGGCTTCTTCTTGTTTTCGGGGAAGGCCAAAACAGCTATATGATGTAGTCTTATTCGTCATTCGGATCTTATGCTTATATCTACTTCTAAATTTGCAATCAAACGTTTTCTGTTCTCTTAGGAATCGGTTGTACAATATTGTAATCATCATTACTATTTCTAACTGCTGAAGTTAACCTGCGGATACGAAATCAAATGAACGCGTGCTGGATTTCTCAGCACAAAGTACACCCCCCCCACACACACACACGCACGCACACACACACATGAAGATTGTCCAACAAAAACATATACACTAGCACTATACCCGTATTCAATTTTACATGTACACAGAATCCATGTACAGAATGTTGTTTAAACTTATGATATCATTACTGGTTATAATAAGAGAGTCATCGACACACAATCTAGGAAGAACTGTTAGATAAAATGTTCCTGTTAAATCGATCAAATCTACTGCATTTCGTTACATTTTTATGTAGTGGCAATTTCTGCGTCCGGATAAATGGAAATGATTTTGTACAGCAATCGTAGTCATATAAGTTTCCGTAGCTTTGTTTCAGTTGAGATTAATATACAAGTAGAGTGATATCTACTCAACATCTATAATTCCTTACTCAAATAAATAAATACATATATCACAATATGCTATTAATTGTGTCTACATTGTGACAGAAAAAAGAAGCGGGTAAAATAGTGATAAGATGATTCGTGTAGCCTAACCGTTAAGAGATGTTAAATCATGCGTGTACTAAGCTTCTGGTTAACAACAATTGTAAACAAACCTTACAGAGTTTCCATTTGACAAAGTCTCGATGATGTGCATCTTGCGTCAGAGGTAATGGGAGACCACTTTTATCAACTCGTTGTAGTTTCAGAATTAGACAAAAATGTCCAATAGACAGATAAATTTGACGGTCGAATCTAGTATTAGATACATTAGATAGAACCTCCTCATCACAAGGTATGTTCTGATAAGGTTTTAGGTGTGTACGCATATTTTATGTTGAGGGTGTTTGTGTAAGTGCTGGTATCATTACCACAAAATGTCAAATTTTAAGCATTTAATTATTTTTTGAAAAATGGCTGTAGTTAATTTCCGCGTTTCATGACATAGAGAAGCAGATGCACAGTTGATACTTTGTCATGTTCAGATCAACACTTGTTGTGATATGATGTATAATTTATCCTTCTTCCTAAAATGGATGTAGACATATTATATATGTGGATTATCTTGTCCTCAAATCCTCTGTCTAGTTCTCTGTCTCAGTCGCTCTCCCAGTTTTTATGTGTCTCGGCGAAATCTTTACTGTATTTTTTGTTTTTCAAATTTATCTCATGCCAACGGAGCAAATGAGACAAGAAATTAAAAAACTTAAACAGTCTGAGCTTCATTAAAGCAAGATTTGTTATGTGTATATGGAGGGTTATCCCGCGTAGATTTATATTAATCTTCAATGTAGGTGGGAACACTTCATACAACATTGGTGGTTGTATCAGAATTATATAAATAGGTATGATTTGGAGTTTGGGTTTTTTAAAATTATAGAAATAAAAAAAAAAAAAAAAACAACCTGTGTCTATGTAGACCAGAATATGATCAAAATAGAAAAAAATACAAACGAAATTAAATCGATAATCTGTAAATGATTATGTTTCCGTTCTACCATTTCCTTCGTCAACCCCCACCTCACCCCACAGAAGATTGAATTAATGCTCAAGATAACGAATATTAAATGGCTGTAATAGAATTAAAAACTAATGCAAATACCTCCATCCACCTCCATCCCCCCCAAACAACTTGTTATTGATCTACTTATTGTAGTTGAAGTGAAGCAATGTGTAAGTCATACATACTTAGATATCTGATATATGCATTTAATATGGCGTTCATTGTGGCACAAATAGAATAACTTAAGGCCAGGCAATGTTTTCACCGTATATCGATATCTCGAATAATAGAACAATGACAGGAACTTTGGTCTCCCCGATCCCTTCTCTACAGCCAGAATCAGAGGAAATAACCTAGCTGTGAATAAAGAGTATGTCCTTCTGAAGCAATCAAGGCGTGAATCTGTTATAGGTACACTTGTGATTACTTGATTCTCGAGAAAATAGTCTACTCTTCATTCTCTGGATTAATTTTCTGCACTATTGTGTTGAATTAAGTTGGGTTTTATCGAGCTGTGGTGACAAATGTCGTAGTTCAAAACTACTTGTTCCATTCAAATATTCCTCACTATAGACAAACAACTATATTTCTAAAAGTTGTCAAATTTTACAGATATCGTAACATCAGTCGATGACAAGCGTCATCCGAACTTAAAAGGAAATATGATTTATAAAGTAACTGGCTTTGATTTTTCTTATCTTGTCCGTGACGTCATGGTTATTCAAGTGAATGTTAACAAAGTTAAACAGGTAGATAAGCATGTCATACATGCTATTGACTGACATTTAATGCATTGGTTGCAAGGTAAACAAGAAAAAAAAAACGATATGTAATTCTGTCACATTCCCTTTCTTATTCAATAGTGCGTTTACCTACACTCACTCAGATTGTACAAATTGCTGCATAATATTTAAACACGTTACACTGAAAAGGGTGTTATTTTACACTGTTACTTTTTTCACTAATTTCGGGTTCTACAATAATTACCATATCAACAACACAGATATATATATAGTAAATACTTATAGCGCAGTACCCTAAGCGCGAAAAGCACGAGAATGGAATTACCTCTAAAATGAAAACTTGCAGCGATAGATTAACATTTTAAAAGATTTTAATAGCTGAAATGATAGCTTCACTCTTAGGAGACTAATCAAGGTGAAACTATAAACATAGTTTACCTGCACATGTACATAAGTTCATACTTGATATTTAGATAAGTTCCTTTATATATCTGTATATCATTTTGTGATTTCAGGATAAGCCGTATTCCATATTAAGAGGGGTATCGTATGCTAATCGTGGGTTCCATAAATCTTCCTCGGACATGGCGTCAATGGTAAGTAATAGAAACATAAGGGAAAACGAAGTAACTCTATGACATTAAGACGTTAGAAGTTGAAAAAATGTCCAGTTCAGAAGTGAGATGTATTGCGTTAAACAGGTTTAATATACAGTGTATTTGAGGTCGCGGAGAAGAAAGGTGTTGTGACCCGATAATGGTGTACATATGTAGTCCGTTATATCTATAGCGCCGATAATATCGACTTTTGTGTAAAATTAATAATATATTATTGAATGAAATAATAGACAATACAGAACACGAAACAAACGTCATTAATAGGCATCATTTATGTACAACAAAACCTGTTTAAGAGCAGTAGGGCTCGATTGGTTTTTTGGTTGATCTGTTTCTGCTGGTTGCTAATCTAAATAATGAAACATTATTTTTTGGAACATTTTCTACAGGTTGGTAATGTCAATAGAACAGAAGTTCTGATAACACAACCAGTACAAGGTTAGAGTGTGAATGAATTATAGGATTATAGTACAGCCGTAAAAGTTGTTCGATTCCGTAGCATTTCGCACATTATGTACGTCAGTGCTAGTATGCTCCACACTTGTCATTTGTCTGATGAAGGTAGTGTAGTCATTGAAACGCCACACTCTAATCATCTACTGGTTGTGCTATAAGATGAAGGTGACCGTGTAGTCATCAAAACGTCACACTCTAATCTTCTACTGTTTGTATTATAAGATGAAGGTGACTGTGTAGTCATAGAAACGTCACACTCTAATCTTCTACTGTTTGTATTATAAGATGAAGGTGACTGTGTAGTCATAGAAACGTCACACTCTAATCTTCTACTGTTTGTATTATAAGATGAAGGTGACTGTGTAGTCATAGAAACGTCACACTCTAATCTTCTACTGTTTGTATTATAAGATGAAGGTGACTGTGTAGTCATAGAAACGTCACACTCTAATCGTCTACTGGTTGTGTTATAAGATGAAGGTGACTATGCAGTCATCGAAATGTCACACTCTAATCTTCTACTGTTTGTATTATAAGATGAAGGTGACTGTGTAGTCATAGAAACGTCACACTCTAATCGTCTACTGGTTGTGTTATAAGATGAAGGTGACTATGCAGTCATCGAAATGTCACACTCTAATCTTCTACTGGTTGTATCATAAGATGAAGGTGACTGTGTAGTCATAGAAACGTCACACTCTAGTCATCTACTGGTTGTGTTATAAGATGAAGGTGACTATGCAGTCATCGAAATGTCACACTCTAATCGTCTACTGGTTGTGTTATAAGATGAAGGTGACTATGCAGTCATCGAAATGTCACACTCTAATCTTCTACTGTTTGTATTATAAGATGAAGGTGACTGTGTAGTCATCGAAATGTCACACTCTAATCTTCTACTGGTTGTATCATAAGATGAAGGTGACTGTGTAGTCATAGAAACGTCACACTCTAGTCATCTACTGGTTGTGTTATAAGATGAAGGTGACTATGCAGTCATCGAAATGTCACAGTCTAATCATCTACTGGTTGTGCTATAAGATGAAGGTGACCGTGTAGTCATTGAAACGTCACAGTCTAATCATCTACTGGTTGTGCTATAAGATGAAGGTGACCGTGTAGTCATCGAAACGTCACTCTCTAATCTTCTACTGGTTTTGTCATAAGATGAAGGTGACCGTGTAGTCATCAAAACGTCACACTCTAATCGTCTACTGGTTGTGTCATAAGATGAAGGTGACGTGTAGTCATCGAAACGTCACTCTCTAATCGTCTACTGGTTGTGTTATAAAATGAAGGTGACCGTGTAGTCATCGAAACGTCACACTCTAATCTTCTACTGGTTGTGTTATAAGATGAAGGTGACCGTGAAGTCATCGAAACGTCACTCTCTAATCGTCTACTGGTTGTGTTATAAGATGAAGGTGACCGTGAAGTCATCGAAACGTCACTCTCTAATCTTCTACTGGTTGTGTTGTAAGAACTTCTGTTCTGGAAATAGTTTATGTCCTCCAGCATTTTTGTTTTTGTAAAGGTGGGCTGGGGTGGGGTTGGAGTTGGGGTGTTCATCAGTTTCCTTCCACACGCCAATTACATATACCATTGAGTTGATGTTCTGAGATGTGTAGATAATTTTATACCACAATAATAACTTATCGGTGTATAGCTTAACATCTACATTTTGTGAAGATCCCAAATACAAAGGTAATACAACCGAAATGGAGTTGATGAAAGATCAAATGTATATTAAAAAATAGCTAATGACGAAAATTTCTATTTAAATCGGGCCCGGTTGCATGCCTGTTATAGAAACTGTAAACAATGTTGGTATGCCCTTTATTTAGGATACCAACTGGACCGTGTTTAATGTTGTTTTGTCTATTTACTGTTAAGGTATCATTACTAAGTCTTACATAATAGTATACTACACATCATGGTAAAACAAAAGAGATATTAGCCGATGGGAGGCAAAATCAAATGTACTGCAAACATTGTATTTGTATAAATCAGCTGGTATCGGATTTATGATATCAATAAATACGATTTATCTGATGCGTACAAACTAGCCTGTAACAAAATAGCGATACCATAAATCTCATTGTTGGGTGGGGTATGTAGTGCACAAGGAACTATACTCGTGTGCTGACTCACGAACGTCTGTAACGACTAACAACAATATGTCAGCCTAACTTGTGACTATATGTTAGGTGTTTACAGGTAAATATCCAATTTTGAAACATTGAAATAGAAATTATTTGAACAAACAACTGGAATTGTTATGTCCATACAAAATAGACCCACATAACATGAATACATTAATTAAGGTGCCAACGTTAGAAGACAGATTGGCAGGGAAGAGGTTCAAGGTAAGAGTACACTGCTTTGTAATAGGGAAGCTTTGATGTAAACATTAATGTTCTTATTATCTTTTTAATATTCGCTTTCATCTATTCTAAATAACATATACTTGTTCTATATAAACATTTGGTAAGAGGTTAATGACATATTAGGATGGATATATATATATATATATGGAAGGGGCTGTATAACAAACCATCCGGCAGCTGTAAATATCACAACACTGCAGACCATTAACACAGTTCAATTTGATCCATAATAAAATTGTATTGTTTACTGATCAAACGTGTAATGTGCACACCAATCACATCAATTGTTCATCAATCACGTAGTGAACTTTGACACACCAATCACATCATTTGTTCATCAATCACGAAATTAACCTTGACGCACCAATCACACGAATTGTTCATCAATCACGTAGTGAACTTTGACACACCAATCACATCAATTGTTCATCAATCACGTAGTGAACCTTGACACACCAATCACATCAATTGTTCATCAATTACGTATTGAACTTTGACACACCAATCACACGAATTGTTCATCAATCGCGTAGTGAACCTTGACACACCAATCACATCAATTGTTCATCAATTACGTATTGAACTTTGACACACCAATCACATCAATTGCTCATCAATCACGTAGTGAACCTTGACACACCAATCACAAAAATTGTTCATCAATTACGTATTGAACTTTGACACACCAATCACACGAATTGTTCATCAATCACATAGTGAACCTTGACACTCCAATCACAAAAATTGTTTATCAATCACGTAATGAACCTTGACACACCAATCACATCAATTGTTCATCAATCACGTAGTGAACCTTGACACTCCAATCACAAAATTGTTCATCAATCACGTAATGAACTTTGACACACCAATCACACAAATTGTTCATCAATCACGTAGTGAACCTTGACACATCAATCACACAAATTGTTCATCAATCTTGTAGTGAACCTTGACACACCAATCACACGAATTGTTCATTAATCACGCAGTGAACCTTGACACACCAATCACATCAATTGTTCATCAATCACGTAGTGAACTTTGACACACCAATCACACGAATTGTTCATCAATCGCGTAGTGAACCTTGCCACACCAACACATCAATTGTTCATCAATCACGTAGTGAACCTTGACACTCCAATCACAAAAAATGTTCATCAATCACGTAATGAACCTTGACACACCAATCACACAAATTGTTCATCAATCACGTTTTGAACCTTGACACACCAATCACACAAATTGTTCATCAATCTTGTAGTGAACCTTGACACACCAATCACACGAATTGTTCATCAATCACGCAGTGAACCTTGACACACCAATCACATCAATTGTTCATCAATTACGTATTGAACTTTGACACACCAATCACATCAATTTTTCATCAATCACGTAGTGAACTTTGACACACTAATCACATCAATTGCTCATCAATCACGTAGTGAACTTTGACACACAAATCACATCAATTGTTCACCAATCACGTAGTGAACCTTGACACACCAATCACATCAACTGGTCATCAATCACGAAATTAACCTTGACACACCAATCACACGAATTGTTCATCGATCACGTAGTGAACTTTGACACACCAATCACATCAATTGTTCATCAATTACGTATTGATGTTTATCAATCACGTAATGAACCTTGACACACCAATCACATCAATTGTTCATCAATCACGTAGTGAACCTTGACACAACACAAATAGTGGTTTTCTCGTGTAGTTATGATGTCCCACTTGTGTTAATTCTATATTGACATACACACTAGTGGCTATCTAGTGTAGGTATGTTGTCCTAGTTGTGTGAATTTTACATACGCCCACACTCTAGTGGTTATCTAGAGTAGGTGTGATGTCCCACTTGTGTTAATTTTACATTTGCCAACACACTAGTGGTTATCTAGTGTAGTTATGATGTCCCACTTGTATCAGTTTTACATTTGCCAACACACTAGTGGTTATCTAGTGTAGGTACCACTTGTGTTCCACACACTAGTGTTATCTGTGTAGGTATGATGTCCCACTTGTACTATTTGTAGTTATGATGTCCACTTGTGTTAATTTTACACACTAGTGGTTATCTAGTGTAGGTATGATGTCCCACTTGTGTTAATTTTACATTTGCCCACACACTAGTGGTTATCTAGTGTAGGGATTATGTCCGACTTTTGTTAATTTTACATTTGCCCACACACTAGTGGTTATCTAGTGTAGGTATGATGTCCCACTTGTGTTAATTTTACATTTGCCCACACACTAGTGGTTATCTAGTGTAGTTATGATGTCCCACTTGTGTTAATTTTACATTTGCCAACACACTAGTGGTTATCTAGTGTAGTTATGATGTCCCACTTGTATCAGTTTTACATTTGCCAACACACTAGTGGTTATCTAGTGTAGTTATGATGTCCCACTTGTATCAGTTTTACATTTGCCAACACACTAGTGGTTATCTAGTGTAGTTATGATGTCCAACTTGTATCAGTTTTACATTTGCGCACATACTAGTGGTTATCTAGTGCAGGTATGATGTCCCACTTGTGTTAATTTTACATACGCCCACACAGCAGTGGTTATTTAGTGTAGGTATGATGTCCCACTTGTGTTAATTTTACATTTGCCCACACACTAGTGGTTATCTAGTGTAGGTATGATGTCCCACTTGTGTTAATTTTACATCTACCCACACACTAGTGGTTATCTAGTGTAGGTATGATGTCCCACTTGTGTTAATTTTACATACGCCCACACTCTAGTGGTTATCTAGTGTAGGTATGATGTCCCACTTGTGTTAATTTTACATACGCCCACACTCTAGTGGTTATCTAGTGTAGGTATGATGTCCCACTTGTGTTAATTTTACATTTGCGCACACACTAGTGGTTATCTAGTGTAGGTATGATGTCCCACTTGTGTTAATTTTACATTTGCCTACACATTTGTGGTTATCTAGTGTAGGTATGATGTCCCACTTGTGTTAATTTTACATTTACCTACACACTAGTGGTTTTCTCGTGTAGTTATGATGTCCCACTTGTGTTAATTTTACATTTGCCCACACACTAGTGGTTATCTAGTGTAGGTATGATGTCCCACTTGTGTTAATTTTACATATACCTACACACTAGTGGTTTTCTCGTGTAGTTATGATGTCCCACTTGTGTTAATTCTATATTGACGTACACACTAGTGACTATCTAGTGTAGTTATGATGTCCCACTTGTATTATTTTTACATTTGCCCACACACTAGTGGTTATCTAGTGGAGGTATGATGTCCCACTTGTGTTAATTTTACATTTGCTCACACACTAGTGGTTATCTAGTGTAGGTATGATGTCCCACTTGTGTTAATTTTACATTTACCTACACACTAGTGGTTATCTAGTGTAGTTATGATGTCCCACTTGTGTCAATTTTACATTTGCCCACACACTAGTGGTTATCTAGTGTAGGTATGATGTCCCACTTGTGTTAATTTTACATCTACCCACACACTAGTGGTTATCTATTGTAGGTATGATGTCCCACTTGTATTATTTTTACATTTGCCCACACACTTGTGGTTATCTAGTGTAGATATGATGTCCCACTTGTGTTAATTTTACATTTGCCCACACACTAGTGGTTATCTAGTGTAGGTATGATGTCCCACTTGTGTTAATTTTACATACGCCCACACTCTAGTGGTTATCTAGTGTAGGTATGATGTCCCACTTGTGTTAATTTTACATACGCCCACACTCTAGTGGTTATCTAGTGTAGGTATGATGTCCCACTTGTGTTAATTTTACATTTGCCCATACTCTAGTGGTTATCTAGTGTAGGTATGATGTCCCACTTGTGTTAATTTTACATTTGCCCACACACTAGTGGTTATCTAGTGTAGGTATGATGTCCCACTTGTGTTAATTTTACATTTGCCCACACACTAGTGGTTATCTAGTGTAGTTATGATGTCCCACTTGTGTTAATTTTACATTTGCCCACACACACTAGTGGTTATCTAGTGTAGTTATGATGTCCCACTTGTGTTAATTTTACATTTGCCCACACACTAGTGGTTATCTAGTGTAGGTATGATGTCCAACTTGTGTTAATTTTACATTTGCGCACATACTAGTGGTTATCTAGTGTAGTTTTGACGTCCCTCTTATGTTAATTTTACATACGCCTACACACTAGTTGTTATATTGTGTAGGTATGATGTCCCACTTGTGTTAATTTTACATACGCCCACACTCTAGTGGTTATCTAGTGTAGGTATGATGTCCCACTTGTGTTAATTTTACATAAACCCACACACTAGTGGTTATCTAGTGTAGGTATGATGTCCCACTTGTGTTAATTTTACATTTGCCCACACACTAGTGGTTATCTAGTGTAGGTATGATGTCCCACTTGTGTTAATTTTACATTTGCTCACACACTAGTGGTTATCTAGTGTAGTTATGATGTCCAACTTGTGTTAATTTTACATTTGCGCACACACTAGTGGTTATCTAGTGTAGGTATGATGTCCCACTTGTGTTAATTTTACATTTGCTCACACACTAGTGGTTATCTAGTGTAGTTATGATGTCCAACTTGTGTTAATTTTACATTTGCCCACACACTAGTGGTTATCTAGTGTAGTTATGATGTCCCACTTGTGTTAATTTTACATTTGCCCACACACTAGTGGTTATCTAGTGTAGGTATGATGTCCCACTTGTGTTAATTCTATATTGACATACACACTAGTGGCTATCTAGTGTAGTTATGATGTCCCACTTGTATTATTTTTACATTTGCCCACACACTAGTGGTTATCTAGTGTAGGTATGATGTCCCACTTGTGTCAATTTTGCATACACCCACACAGTAGTGGTTATCTAGTGTAGGTATGATGTCCCAGTTGTGTTAATTTTACATACACCCACACTCTAGTGGTTATCTTGTGTAGATATGATGTCCCACTT